TACCAGAAGAAGGGCACTAAACAAAGCTACAATGTGGCTCGATTGAGGGCAGCGTCCTTAGCAAAAACCTAGTAAGCCCTTGAGCCTGCCATAGAGAAAGGCAATCGGCCCACAAGCCTTCATCTTGTCAAAAACCCTTTTGAGTTTAGGTCTGAGGCTTGGGGTATAGGGTGTATAGGGGCTAAGTGTATGAGGAGAGGAGCCGAGAATTTTGCCGCAGGCACAACTAAGTTGCGAAGTAAGGCTTGCCCCCATTAGGAGACAACTTCTGACAACGCGCCCCAAACCCCAGACCCCAAACCCCAAACCCCTAGAACCCAAAACGCTAATAAGCTCTAAACAAAACCCTACACACCAAAACGAACAATCCGAAACCGTACTGAAACCCAAAGCCTAAAAACCGAAACCCTAAAACCCCAAATCCCTAAAAGGTTGAACAATAGAGGGCTGCGGGTTCAAGAAACCGGGTGTTGTATCCGAATGAGCGAAATGTCCCGTGGGTGTCCGGGTTCTGGCTTTATGCTTAGGCATTGCAGCTTACCGCATACTTAGCCATCGGGTTCAGGGTGTGGGATTCAGGGGTTTGGAGTTTAGGGTTTGAGGGTTAAGGTTTAGGGTTTAAAATTTGAGGTTTAGGGTTTCGGGTGCAGCAGATCATGAAGCGCGCGCAGCAATCGTAGCATCCGCCAGAAACCCAACACCACAAACTCCCTCCCACACCCGACACCCCCCCCCCCCCCCCAAGGCCACGTAGAGCCCCAAAACACTAAACCATCAATTCTCAACCCTAAGCCCAAATCTACAAACCCACAAATCCTAAACCGTGAGCCCTCGCACGCAAGCTGGCCTCGACGACGCTGAGGTACTTCAGCAGATAGCTCTGGTGCGAACTCTCCAAGCACTCCTGCAGTGCGCCAAGGGTTACAAGGCCGAGGGCTTGGAATCTAGCACTCAGGGTTGAAGGTTTATGGTTCAGGTTTAGGTGCCTTTCTTGCACTCCTAAACCCTAAACCCTAAACCCTAGACCCTTTCAGGGGGGCACATCTGGCATTGACTTCTCTCATGATAGCTCGGAAGATGCCAACCGACCTGATACCTGTGGCATGTGTGTAAAGCCCCATTGCCCGCACCCATTTTGGATAAGCCCGGAACCCAACACTATACTGAACCACCCCAGCAAACATTAGTTTTTTGCTGTTTCTGAGGAGTGAGAGTACCCACAAATTTAAAATTATTCCAAGGTAGTTCGAAGAACGCCCTTGTCCCCTTGGGGGCCCCTGCAACATACGTCATCTAGTATTCAGGGCACTCTCCACATCTCGGCTAGCTGTAAACTCATGTAAATAAAGTCTGTCACAGGTACAGTCCATAAATAAAAGAATGCCCCACACACACACACACACCCACACCCACACCCGCGCACGCACGCACGCACCCACCCACCCACCCACCCACCCAGGCATGCACGCACGCACGCACGCACGCACGCACGCACGCACGCACGCACGCACGCACCCACACACTGATGAGTGCGATTGCTGCTGACATTTGACATAGTTTCCAACCCCCATCTGCCACACTGTATCATGTAGTGTCATAGCTAAGGATGTAGGGTGGAACTGGTGTAGGTCATGTGTAACTATGAAACATGTTAGCAAATCCATTGCTCTGAGAGAGTGTAGCTGCGTGCAGTAGGACCCACAGCTGCACCGATCTGCACTCCATTCTGCACATCGAACAGCGCAAGCACCCCAACTGAACAGTCTGAAATCTTGTCTGTGTCAATGTCTAAGGGCCCGACGTTGTACACTTCTTTCTGTAAATCGAAAAGGCTCCCGACTTTCGAACACATGCAGGTACGTGGATTCCGCATCCGGAATCCATATCACAGCCAATGGATAGGTGTCTTCGTTGGCACCTGACCTATCCATGGCCCAGGCGCCCCTGCTACTCAACATAGGTGGTTGAGGCTTCGAGGCCGCTTGGTAACAGCGGGCGCAGACACACACATCCTCTCGCGGGAGAGTAGTTAAAGCCAAGATACATTCCAATGCCGGGCAACGGCGAGTAGTCGTGTTCTTTTTTTGATCTGTGTCCCCATTGCCTAGTGGGTAGTAGGCCTCTGTAATGCTGCCAACTTTCCACGCTCTGTTGGGAGCACATGCCGAAGGTGAAGGTCTGTGGATCACTGTGAAGCTGCAAACTTTCCACGCTCTGCTTGTAGCACATGCACCATAACACAAACCTAAATCACACAAGCCTAAACCACACAAGACATCACAAGACCGAAAGGTGGGGGGAAGAGGGAGGGGGAGAAGGGACGAAACGGGGCGAGAAGGCAGGGAATGCAGGAGGAGAGGAGGGGAAACCGGGGAGACAACAAAACCTGGAGAACCATGGGAAGGGATGTAGCACATGCCAAAGGTGAAAGTCTGTAGGTCGCTCTGAGTTGCACACTTCCCGCGCTCTACTTGAGCGCACGCCGAAGGCGAAGGTCTGTAGGTCACTGTGAAGCCGCAGACCTTCCACGTTCTGTTTGAAGCACATGCCGAAAGAAAGCTATGGATGAATCCCTTCCTGCAGCGGCAAGCCAATTTGCTTCATGAGCAATCACTGAATGTTTGCAAAGAACATCCACGACTGACAGCAGACGGAGCCATCGCATGTATTCCATGCATGTCTGGCACTCGTTTGTCATGGAGAGTCCATTGCTATACCCACGTTAAAATCGGCTTGAGACCTAACGCATCCTTGAAAAGCGAAATTACGGAGCACGAATGATGCCAAAAGCTGGTCATTGCGCACATGCTACATCGCGCAAAAACCTACTGGGCACGGCGAGGCTGCAATTTGAAAGCCGAGAGCGTTTGCGTAACCTGGAAAGCACTGGCGCTAGGTGATCCTTGGCGTACCCTAAGGCTTTATCTGGCTAAATTGTCTTTTTCTCTGGCTATTTTGCCTTTTTTGTTTCTGTATTTTGCGTGGGTCAAACAAACAAACGCCGAACAGAGAAACCGAAAAACGGGAAACGTGTTTATCAATGGCAGACAAAATAAATCGTTTTCGTGTGTTGAAAAGCAAGAAAGTGATGTTGATTCCTCTCATTGGGGCCTATGTTAGCTGCAACTTTTGATACAGGGTGTGTTGTGGAGGCTTCTGGTTTGAAGTGGTTTGGCATTGGGCAGTCCTAAATCCCTTAAGTCTGAGAAATTCGGAGGCTTCACCAACCGTCAGCTTTCCCAGGGAACCCACTTGACACGTAAATATCCCAAACCCAAATGTGCCATCAACTCCAGAAAAACCACACCCTACACCTTGCTAACTCCAAATAAATCCCAATGCCCTATAAAGCTCCAAGCCCAAGAGCCTTCTCCACCGCCCGAGGCCTTTGATCCCAAACCCTAAACCCCCTTTTGCCCACCGAGCAGATCCGAAACCAACGGGGGAGCTTTGACTGGCGCACGGTCTGGGCCTGGGGTTTTCCGTTCAGGGTTTAGGACAAGGGTGCTGAGAGAGCATCCTGAAGTGCTGACAAGGCACCGAAACTGGGACACTGAGAGAGTGTCCCGGCACTGAGAGAGTGCCGAACCCAAGGGGGAATCATCCCTGCGCTGAGAGAGCGCACTGGGACCTCCTCGGCCCTGAGAGAGGGTCGAAACTAGAAGTAACCTAGGCGATCAGCTGCGCCTTAAGACAATGTGTCCTGCTTATGGCTTGCTGGCACACCATCCGAATCTGCAGATTCATAAGAATGATTTTATGAGTACACTGACTGACAGTCCCGCTAGCCAGCCTCTTCAAGGCAGCAAGAAGGCTCCCTCAAACTGCTTGAGAAGGGCCCCGGATGTTTTAAAGCGCTCTATAGTTTCAGTTGGAAGTTGGATATGCAGCGTGGAAAAGGTAGTTGTGGGTGGGTGGGCGAGGGGAGGACTATTTGGGTTTCGTGTGAAGCGTGCTCTTTCGGCAGCAGCGGGCACAATCCGTGCCTTCCGTGCAGGTCACACCGACCGCAATCGAGGTTGATCGCCGCTGCGGCCTCAATCGATCTGCTGTAGCACTACACACCCGAAACAACGCACTCCATGCGTGGCATTGTGTTTGAGTTTCGGGCTGACGCAGAACAAGCCTGCGTGCACACACGCGCCAGCAAAGCCACACCACAAATTTTGCGGTATCTCAGCAGAAACATTACTGTATGCGCGCACTCTCTCAGTGCACAAAGCACTTTTTTGTTGGCACGGCGCCAATATTCGATGAATCGGCCACCTGCAACATCACCAAGTAGCACCATGCCAGTTAAAACACACTGCTCTTGCATGTTCCTGGTTGGTCGGGCCTCTCAGTCTTCGGCTGGTGTCGTTGGCGTGTGTGTCTGCGTGCTCGGGCCTGGGGCGGTCAGGATGGCTGGCGGCGGGAGTGCAGGTGGCGGTGGGCCTGGCGGAAGCGGAGGGCCTGGGCTCAGCGGAGGAGGGGGTGTCGCCTTGCCACGCAGGAACTTAACACACAGTTTCTTTAAGCTGCAACAACAAGGGCCTCGGTGTCCAATGGCAAACTTCGAAAGGCCCCTGCGCAATGACATTGACTGCTTGTCGTTGCAGAATGGATCAGTGAATGCCTGTGGCAGCGCCCTCTGCCGAGCTTTGGGCAGAACCTGCAAAAGCTGAACATCATCAAATCAAGATTATTGTTTCAAGATGGCACGGGCCTCTACCCACATCCAGTGCTGGAGAACCCTGCACAGAGACGGTAACGAATCGTTCAATGGGAATTCAGCACAAAGTTGAAGGCCTGGGGCTGGGCTCGATGCTTTGGCGTCGGTGCCTCCCGGCCGTCATGTTTAACAAGCTTTCACAAGCAACGTGGCAACAGGTTTCTGCCCTTTGCCTGGATCTTGACATGTGGCCCCGGGACCTGCGCAGTCAGTGTCGTGTCAAATCGCACGCGCAAGCAAAAAGGGTTGACGCAATACAGACGAAACCTCTTTCAGCTGCTTCTCCAGCTCACGAATTTTGGTCTTCAGCCGGGCCTGCCGCTAGAGCGACCACAGTTGCAGTGACCCACAGTGGGTTGGTGCCTATCCCCGCCTTCTCCTCACCATGCTGCACCTCGAGGATGGTGATCCTGCTCTCGAGGTTGTCCTGCGTAGCAAAGATAAGGAAAAGGGTTGTCTGTTTGTTCTTTTCTTCGGGAGGGTGGTCTGCCACCCTGCCTTGTCGTCCTGCAGGGATCTGCACCGATCCTCCCTCTTGCAGAGCTTCCTGCCGAAATCCTCTATGCGACCCTTGTGCTCCCTCTTCAAACTCGAGACCTCGCCCTCGTGCTTCTTCTTCAACTCGTCACACGACGCGTGGGCCGTCTTGTTCAGGGACTGCGCCTCCTTGAGGTCATTCAAAAGGCTGTCGTTTCGGCACAGGGCCATCTGCGTCTGGTTTTCCCACCACTCTGCCTCAATCTCGGCTGTCCACTGCGCACCTTCAGCCTCTTGAAGCTTTGCTTCCCATTGTTGCTTCTCGTAGCGCAGGACCTGCAGTTCACGATGGTCCTCCTTCCATCGTGAATACTCCCTCTGGTCCTGTGCATTTCCACGATTGCTGCGCTGCTTCTTGACCGTGGAGGCCTTGGGCTTCGAGGCCTTCGGTGGCATCTTCGACGCCCGGGCCTTTGGTGAGGCCTTCGGCATCGAGGCCTTTGGCCTGGCCTTTGGTATCGAGTTCGACCCCGTGGGCATTTGCGCACGACTGCTTCTTGAAGTTTCGACCTCCTCCTCATCGTTCTTCCAATCCGCCGGTTGCCACGCTGACCCTTGTGACCATTCTTCTTGTGACCATTGTGACCATTCTGTTTCTGACCATCGTGGCCATCCTTTTTCTGACCATCCTGACCAGTCTTGCTCGGTCCAAGTCCATGTGTCCTGCTGGCTGTCGTTTCTGCGCGCCATCACGACATAAAGAAGTTTCAGGCGCACCTAGCAATCAGCCAGTGGCCCTTGAGTGGTAGCGTGTGCTAAGGCATGACTCTTTGTGCCTTGTTTCGTCATATTTGGCCTACAAGAAAAGTCACTACGCAGTAGCTTAAGGCAATGCGCGCGTGTAAGGCCTCTACCCTCTGTGCCTTTTTTGTGCATATCTCGGGCCGGGCCGCGGGTTTCGGTTGTTTGGCTTCGTCACGGTCACGCTGCGATGCTGTGATGTAAAGCAAACACACATAGTAGTCCATGCCAACTCTGACTCACACAGACACGCGGCGCACGGAGGCACAACCACACAGAGTTTAAGCCAGCCTGCTCTCAGGTGGATGGGCACCTCCGTGATAATCGACGAGGCCTGGCCCACAGTTTCTTGCAGTTCTGTGCTGCAGCCTCATGTCAATGCACCCTCAGACTCAGTGATGTGGCGCAAGCACTCTCACAGTGCGGCCCTTAAGTTCACACACTTGCAGCGCACTACTTTCCACACACTACGCCATCGCGCTGAGAGAGCGTGCGTTTGCCGCCCGCAACACTTGTCCTTGGCGCTGTGAGAGCGCAACAAGCACAAGTAAACATACTGGGGGTTTGGAGACGGGAGTCAATGCACTGAGAGAGTGCAAGCAAGGCTCCCAGAACCCAAAACCCGAAACGACGATTTACGAAACTGGGGTTCACGTTTCAACAGAAAGTGGGGGTTTTGGCATGGGGGGGGGGGGTGGGAGTCCGCCTGAATGGCTTCGAAAACCTGGGTTTTGGCATGGGAGTCCGCTTTTTCCCGGGGAAGGCGGACTCCCACCGCAAAGAAAGCATTTTCCCTTAGGACTGCAGTATTTGGCCGAGAAAAAAAAAGAATAATTCGCCTCAGCTGCAACCACATGACTAAGTCCGTGGCTAAAAAACGTGGCCGCGGTCGCCCTCGGAAAGTCATGAAGAAGCAGCCTGAGAAGCCCAGAGGCAAAGCATCCAGTTTGCCAGGAGAACTCTGGCCACGATGGCTCGCACACGTTCACAAGAATGGAACTTGCTGGCTGCACGCCTGCCTTCTTCTCACCCACGTCCTTTGCCTGAGAGTTACAGAGGCTCTCTCTTTGAAAGCCTCAGATTTCAATTGGAGAGGTCGCTATGTGCACGTCGCGGGTCTCAAAAAGCAACAAGCGACTAACAAACCCTTGCTGACAGTGATTCTACCTGTGCTTCGACTTCTTCGCGACAAGGGCATTAGTTGCAAGCGAACAAAGAAACGTGGTGTCCGGGGCAGTGTGTCTTTCCGTGACACCTGGTCATGGCCCGCGGACGGCGAGTCCTTGCTATTTCCGGCTGGTCGAAAAGATTCAAAGCTTCAGCGCAGGTCGAAAAACACAGTGTGCAAGGCAGTGCAAAGGCTACGGAAGACCTTCCAGCTGCCCAAGTCTGCCTGGGTGGACGTGGCCAAAATTCGCAGCCATACAGGGCGACATCGCATGGTTAACGACCTCAAAATCGCGGGCGTGCCGGACGAAGTAGCAATGCTGTATGCACGAATATCAGACTCCAGGCTGGGAACGGAAACCAACGAATGTCTTGCAAGTGCCATCGCATTGTGTTTAGAACCCTGTTTCCCCTGAGGACATTTCAAGGGTACGGGCAGGTTCAGTCGGACCAGGTGGGCGAACTCTTGGAGCAGAACTCTCAGCTCGAAACTTTGCTCAGCAACACGTACAAAAAGAAGTTGAAAAAGGCAAGCAAGTGACTACCATGTCACAACATACGAGCCCATGGAGAAAGTCTGAGCACGGGCGCACGGAAGCGCATCAATTCAGCGAACTAACCTGGCAGTTTGCTGGCAGTTGGTGCGCTGGACAAACCCAGCACCATGCATTGAGCACTAGCAATGAGCAAGTCGCTTGTTTTCACTCAACGAGAGCCACTTAGCCATCCGAGACTTCAAGAGGTGGCTGCGCAAAGCTGCAGCTGAATATCACAACACGAGTGCATGCATGGTAGCCCGTAGTAGCTGGACAATGGGTAGCTAGCGGAATGTGTTTCTTCCTGCTAAACTAGTCACGTCAGTCAGGATCATGCAGCTCGTACCCTGGCGCATTCTCTGCAGCATCTAGGCCAGCGTGCCCGCCCCTTTGCTCGGGATGTGGCTCTGCATGATCTCTACTCTACTTTTTTTCCGGCCTGCGTGCGCTCCAAATTTCTAGTATGTGATTCCATGTGTTACTTATTATCCCAAACCACAACTCCAATCCAGCTGCTTAAAAGCGCGTCTAGCCCGGAATGTGACTGTCAATGTCAAGACTGAGCGGCAAAACTCCGTGCAGAGAGAGCGACTGATCATGAACCAAAAAAAACGCTTACAGTAGATGCTCGAGGCTGCAACGTGTTGCCCAAGTCGCTGTCTGCACTTCGGATCAGGCCCGCGGCTCGGGAACGTTACACGTGTACAGCTGCACCTAAATAATCTAAATATTGACAGTGTAGACCGAGTGCCTGCCGAGCTTCCTAGTCCTAGGTCCTAGGCCGCCTCTGGCGGAACAACTTTGAGTGCTTTCTTGGCAGGGATCTGCAAGGGCCTCGAAGCAACAAGAACTGGCCTGATGGGTTGGAGCCCCTTCGAGGCTACAGCCGGCCATTTCACATGCCAGCAGAAGTCCAGAAACGTCGATGCGCTCCATTTCTCGCTTGGAAGGGACCCGCAAATGTGCGATGCAGGGACAGTTGCGGTGGCATCCGCATCAGCGCCCTCAGACTTTGCGGGGGTTTCCGCTTTGAAAAGCACACAAATCCTGTCCAACGGCTTCACCGTGAATCCGGCCGGGCGGTCAGAGGTAGGTGCATCTATGAGCTTGTGGTATGCCACGTGTGCGTCTGTCGGGGACAGAAGCCTTTTGGAATTCATGACCTCCTGGAGCTCCAGCCACTTCGAGCCAATGAAGACATGATCCTCGCAAGATGAGAGCTGGAATGCCACCTCTGCACTTCCCGGCTTCGTCTCCGTCTTGAAGTCCAAATTCCGGAAAGTGCCTTTCCAGTAGCCGCCTAGGGTGGTGCCCACTGGGATGGCTATTGGCGAGTCCTCACGGTTGATGAGGAAAGCTCCATGCCCTACCGTCACAGCAAGCACAGTCTTCTGCTTGACCATGCAAACTGCTTCTGTCAGGATGGTCGGGATGGCGTCCAACTCCACGATGGCTGACTCCAGCTCTTCAGCATCTTCCTTGGGCGGCATACCAGGAACAGCCTCACCACCTGCTCCCCTGCGACGTTTCTTGGCAGGCTCCGACGCCTCAGCACCATCCCCACCACCATTCTTCTTGGGACTCACGCTGGGAGCGATATCCAGCGCATGCTGCTCACGGAGGTCTGCCAAGAACTTTCGGAAATCGTTGGCGAAGATGGAGTGATCGTGCCACTTCGCCAGGAGGGATTTGGGTGTGGCCATGGTCTTCTGTCCACCTGTTTTCACATTCGAGTAGGCCAGCAATGACAGCGAGGGGGCGGGCGGGGCATCGTCGCTTTTCGCAGTCCTGTGCACACAACACGGCGTTGCCACTTAACATTCAAATCTCTTTGAAAAGGAGGCTGACACTGACCATGGTCCTTTCAGGCAAGGCGATCGGAGGCTTGAACGTGCCGCCCAAGAAGCGGTCCCTGATCTCCTCGTGCAAGTACTGCTCCGCCCAGTCCACCTACAAACTTGTGGAAGAATGTGGAATGAAAATGGCCCAGGGTTTAGGGTTTAGGGCTTACACTCCAACGCCGCCTCCTGTTCATCTGTGTGGAAGCCCACGTAGTGCAAGTTGCAATGGGCCCCGCTCTGGAGGAAGTGTTCAGCCACGGCTGCAATGCCAGCGTCACTCGTGTGGGCCCAAAGATCGACTATCAGAACACATGACTTGGGGGTCTTGTCCGCAATGCCTGTGAGCACACCACGCAGGATCGACCTGTAGGCTGATTCACCCAGCTGGGCCCACTTTTCAGCGGCATTCACTGTGTGGGTGAGTGAGGTGCTGCCAGGCAATGCGTTTTCCGACGTGTCTTCGATCACCTTGAAGGTCTTTGATGTGACCACGTCCGCCTCCTGCAGCAAGCCCTTGCTCAGGATTGGCGAGTTCTTCCACTCAGCAAGCGTAGAGGCGTGGGGATGGTCGCCCAGAAGGGGGAACACAACCCTGCCATGCCGAACCAAGCATCGCTGGTCTCTCTCGTCCGCACGGTCCCCCAGCGGCAGGCAGAACGTGCAATCGACGTCACACTGCGAATTCGCGAGAAGCTCCATGGAAGTTTTCTCCTGTTTGTACAAAGCTCCCCTCGTGTAGCAGTGTGCAGGGCAGAGGTAAACTCCGAGGCAACGGCCCGCGTGATCCCCGTTGACGAGGGCACCTAGGACGGCCGCCTGAGCACGCTGGTGTTCCGATGAAATCATAGAAGGAGATGTCCAGTTGAGGATGGGCACAATGTAGATGTCGCGTTGCGAAACCTTGTACAAGGCGGACATCTTGCCCAGCACCTTCGTGATTCGCTGCATGCAACCGCTAGCACTGTTCGGACTGCACAGGCACCCAAACCATGCCACATCCTGCTCGTTAAACATCGCCTTGGCCTGTCGCATGGCCTCGGTCTGCCTGGCCGTTCTATGGGTCAAATCTGCATGATACAAGGAGGACTCATTGTCCGCAAGCTTCGAGATCCAAGCGCCGTAGGCCCGGATGTCGTGCCTCACAGACCCACATGGCTGACTGACTGCCACTTAATTGTTACCGTTTCGTGCCACTTTGAAACACACAAGAATCACAAGAATAGGCCGAGCGACAAGACCTGGGCCTTCATCAACTCATACTCCTCCTTCTCCAACTCACCAGCGGCGATGGCTTTCTTCTCGGTCTCCTGCTTGAACTTGTCAGCGTTTGAGGCGTGGTGCTTCTTCAGCACGCTGCCTACCAGTGTGATCTGCGCGGCTTGGAACTTGGTAGATCTCTCTGTCAAGGCAAGCTGCAGCTCCATCTGGAGGTTCTCATCTCCAGCCAGCAAGCCCTCACTCAATCTCCTCGTAATTACTCCGTCGTCGGCCAGATCAGCTTCCAGCGCCAACACGAGCTGGGCCATGTGCGATGCCTCCAGCACGGCATCCTTGGACAGACGGGTGCGTAGCTCAGGGAGCTGTCGACGATGGCTGGAGTCGATGAACTCAGCCATCAAGAGCAGGCTCGCCGCAGTCACAGTCAGCCTCTTTTGCCACTCCAGAGAGAAGCTCCGACCTGCAGGGCCTTGTTGGCGAAACACTCCTCCGAGAACGCACCTTTCTGACCAAACTCTGAGGCGTGCTTGATGAGCAGCTGGCACAGCTCCAGCGGCGAGGCAAGAAGTTGAAGCAACGCTACGCGCTTCTGCCCTGTGATCTGGGAGTCGCGCGTGGCTACGTCGTTCCAGGCCTTGATGACGGCGTCGGCTTTCAGCCCCTTGCTTTGCAGCAGAGCCAGCTTACTGAGCCAAGTTGGAACGTCGTGCGCCTGCCTAATTGCGCCACGTGCTGACAGCTTGGCATTCTCAAACGCGACGTGGGTGATGTCCGTGCTCATGGTCCCACGCCTGCAGTGGATAACCTCCAGGCTGCCTTGCAACGCCGGCTTGAAGACATTCAAGTCCCACTTGAATTCCAAACTCATCGCAGCAAGGAAGAGAGCAACGCAGGAGCGGCAGGCTCCCTTCACGAAGGAAGTCCAAGCATAGTCCCGGCCAGGCGGAACCGGGCCCGCCCACAAACTGAGAGGCTCGCCTAGGGAAATGCAAGGCAAGAAGTCCTAAACAAGAATACGAGCACAGCAGCATCATGTCTGCAGCTGGGATGCCTTCCGTCAGGAAGTTGTTCTTTAAGTACTCATCAAGAAGCTGCAACGATGTTGTCAAAAACGGCGCTGGCTTCGTGGAAGCTTCGGGAAACCAACTGAGATCCCAAAGGTGCACCTGAAAGATCTGCGTGTCGTTGTCTGGAACACACTTTGCAAAGGACACATCCAATCGAGAGTAGTCGAATTGTTTCCGGAGCCCTTCCACAAAGCCAGCGCTGGAGATGTCGTGTGGGAACTGAGCAAGCAGGTACTGCCTGGGCCCGCCATGTTTCACCAACAAGGCTTTTCCCAACTCATAGCTGACATTGTAGAAATCCTCCACGCTGACAGCCGCAGCCGAGGACATAAGCATGTCAAGGTGGCCTTTGTCGAAGTCCAGCTGGACTTTGATCCCGGTCTCGTTCGCTGGTGGCAACATCAAAGTCTTCTGGTCAGGGCTTTCTTCCTCAACCTTGGCATCTCCCGACGAGAAGCTTGGCGTCACCGGAGCTGCCATGCCAGCCATGACTTCCAAAGACTGTCTGTCCCACGCCAACGATTACACTCACTGACACTTGGAAATCGCTTCACAAGCCAACAACAGGACCTATTGCATCACAGCACCACGCCACGTGCGCACTGCATCATGCCACACGCTTGCTCAATGAAGGCCAAACGCCAGTCTTTTTCCCAGATAGCCGTGTGGGATCCTGATCCGGATTCATACTCACAAGCAGTGGCCATTTCAGCACGGTTTGGAAAGAGCCTTCAGATCTATTCGTGTGTTAGGAGGCTGGGGCGCTGCTGCCTCTGCAAGTCCAAGGTTTGCCTACGTGTTCTCTGACCACGGAAAATACGGCCGAGTGGGCGGCAGGGGCAGATGCAGGTGAATTGGGGGGGCACGATTTCCACTCCCACATATCGCCCGGTTTCATCTGAAACCGGGCGGTCTCCCTGACGACAAGAAGGTTCCAGGCGAAGTGTGGGGCAGAAGTCCAGCCCTCCTGCTTCGCCTGGACCCTTTTTGATGCACAGCAACACCGCCCCGTTTCAGATGAAACCGGGCGGTTCCCGGGAGCAGAAATCCTGCCCCCTCACTTCGCTTGGGGGGTGGGGGGGGGTGGTGTCTGCCCCACGCCCCCCCCCCCCCCACACACCCCACCACCACCCCACACTTTTCTGGGTTGGGTTTGGATTTTGTTGTTGGGTGTGTGTTCGTTTCGGCGCCAAAAAACAATGTACGTGCACGCCGCCAAGACGTGGCGCCAAAAAAACAGAGATGCGCGCGCGCGCGCGCGCGCGCATCATGGTTTTTTTCTCGGGGGGGGGGGGGGGGAGGGGGGGTGGGGGGGGGTGGGGGGGGGTGGGGGGGGGGGGGGTGGGGAGGGGAGGGAAGATCTGCTCCAGCCGGGGTGGGGGTGGTTGGGGTTTAGGGGGGGTGGGGTGGGGTTCCGTCTTCGCTACTCCCCCCCCCCACACCCCACCACCACCCCACCACCGCCCAAACCAAACCCAACTTTTCTGGGTTGGGTTTGCTTGAAACACAGCCCAAACCCCTAAACCCCACCACCCTCCACGGGGAAGGAAAAAGGCCTTCAGTATCTGGCTGTTCTAAGAGGGGGGCTGTAGCCAACATTCACCAGACAAGCAAGGGAAGGAAGAGGGCTTCGAGTTGACATTGTGAAAGCCCCGCTCGCCACCCCGTGCGCCACTGCAAGCTGCGGCTACGACAGTCACCCCTGGTGACTCGCTGCTGTCTGTGCAAGGAGCTTGCAGAACTCCGGACTGTACACTTGGCAGTGCTTCGAAAGCTGCACTCCATTGAAGCTTCCTCTCACGTGAACATGCGGCGCCTCACAGCAGCAACGCAAGTCTTCGAATATCTGAACCAATGTCGGAGAATTGGTGAGGATAGTGGTGGTCTTGCGGATCGGATGCTTATCAGGCGTTGACCCTGGGGCACAAAGCCCGACCCGGCATTGATCGAATGTCACTGTCATCACTCCAGGACGTGCTGACAGCTTTCGAACCTGGAATGAGCAGGTTAAACTGAAACCCTAAGCGGTTGAATTGTGTCTTCAATGGGATGACACACATGCATGCTATGTCTCTGGCTTGCATCAAGACGCCAATGCATGTTTCCATGACAATGCACGGTGAGGGCGCTCAAAGGCAAAGAAGCGACCTTCGTTCATCTGTAAATGGCACGTCATCATGTTGAACTCAAGCAGGGCCAAGGCCTGGCGCATCCGCTGCCGATACACGGCCCTCTTCATCTTCTTCTGGTTCCACAGACGCATCAGGTCACTGAACATTGTACACGGTGGAGACGTCATGAGAAAACCGGGCTCTTGCGTCTTCAGCGCAGAAAGAACTTGGTGCCGGCCAGCGAAGGTGAGAAGGTCACAGCCGTTAGTGATGTCGAAGCTGCCGGCTGAAAGGAGTCCCAGGCGCTCAGCATATGGAGCTACACGCCTCGGGCTGAAGATCTCCATGAAGTCAGCTTTGGGGTGGACCCTGGGGCTCATCATCACCTCGACCACTGAGACTGAGTCGGATTCCGAATCGCAGACATATGGACAGCCCACGTCATTCTTCGCGTGCCCCATCTCTAACCGCAAGGCCGGAGTCTGACCTCACAAGCTCAGTGACACCCTTGAGAGGAAGCAAGCCTTGACGGCATGTCGGACGCAATGCTGTTGCTCTGCGCGCATGAAGAAAAGACAGCAGCGCAGCAAGCGCAACCGCGCATCGTCATGTCAACTGTAGCACTCTCACAGTGCATGACACAAGAGCACTGCGCCACAGAGCAGTCTCTGACAATCTTCGCACTCTCGCAGTGCGCAGAACCAGGCATGCAACCGCAGACAACAGCTCAGCCCTGAACAATGTAAGCAAGTCAGGGCGACCTTGGCCCCGGTGTCTCGACGACAACCTGAGTTGCAAATGTTCACACAGGCACGGTCTTCATTGCACTCCCGGCGCAGGCTGACGAAGTCTAGTCTGCTGACTCTACTGTGGCACTCTCACAGTGCATGAGCAAAATACAACACAGCAGTCTGACTCACACACAAGACACTTGTAGTAGAGAAGACCACAGACATGAACCCATAGACTGCACTTCTGCAGCCGCCCAAGCTCGGAGATTGTATCCTTTGATTCCAGCAAGGCTGTCATCCTGATGCTGCGAGACGCCCGAGCTGAACTTTCTACCTGCAGTGAGACCAGACACAGTCACCTCTGCGCCCCCGGTGCAGCGAAGATATGATTTTAAAATGGCATTGACATTAAAACACTATTGTGCACACACATTCACTGAGGCAGTAGTTGCTAACACCATCGCAGAGTGAGTCTCCTTCTGAGCTCTGACTGTCAAAACTCCTGGACGCAGGCCACGGAAGGTAATCGTGTGGTGTAGCCTCGGAGGCACCTGGACTTTACATATACAATATCAAATTTAGCGTCCCTGCGCAGCAACGCACTTACACAAATCCGCTTCCACACGTTCCTTTGGAGAAACTACTGATCGTAATCCTGCTGTAAAGGTCAAAATTGTAATAGGCTCACGGAGGTGGCATCCAAACCTGGCCCTCCAAATGAAAGCCACGTGCTGTGCGGCAGGTCTTGCATCCAGTCCTGGCATAACGGCATTTGGCACAGCCAAGGTTGATGTGCCCCGGAAGGCGGAGCGAGAAACCACCACGGAGTGGCAAGGTTTCACCTGTCTGTGCTGCAGCACCAGCAGCTGGCTCAGCAGGCTCGGACACGGACCCGGCGGCTTCAGCCTCAGGCGCCGGCTCAGTGGCTTCACTCTCAGGGAGTTGCGGAGGATTGCCGTTGACCTCGGGAACCTCCAGCGCCGGGGCCGGGCTGGGCAAGGAGCCTCTCACGTCATCCACCTCATCAGGCGGACTTGGCAACGAGACCATAGACTCTGCATCCGTCGGCAGCTCCAGACCAGGCCCTGGGAAGAAAGGGGCACAAGTTCGCTTGAACGCAGCTGCCGGCCTCCTCATGGCGGCAGCAGGGCGCTTAGTAGCGCGCTTCCTTCCACCCGCATCATCTTTCTGGCTGGTCACGGCGTTGGACGAAGATGCAGCCTCCGTGGCCACCACACTCTTCTTACTTGCTGCCTTCTTCGCCGCAGTGGCCTTGATCTTGGGAGCCACTGTCACCCGAGCAGGTTCACGCCGAGCCCACGCAAAGTCTGCTTCCTTAAGCATGTCTGTCGCCTGGTACTCCCGGACACTCCATGGGATGCGACCTGCGAAGGCTGCCAGGGGGAACTCGCCAGGAGCCTGTGGCGTTTCCCCCGCCTGTGCCAGAAGCTCACGGAGGTAATCTGCTGCTCGGTTGAAGGACCACGGGGCAGCCTGGATCTTCTCAATCGTTTTCTGAAGATCTTTCCGGGTCTGCGGGTTCATCTGCTTGCGTGGGAGTATGGACAAAGGGAAAGGAGCCAAACGCTTTAGCGCAGCATTTGGTGCGAAAACCATGGCTTGCGTGTAGGTGTCATCTGACATGTATGCCTTCAGCATCATGATGACGTCGTGCGGGTGGGGCTCCTCGTCAAAGTTCGACTCCAACTCCAGCCCAAGGCCGGCGAGGTTCTGGTAGTCCTCCCGGAGAACGAAGCTGAAGGAATGAACAGCTTGCTGATTGGCCCGTTCCTTGCCCTGCGTTTGTGTATGGCCTGACATCTTCACCTCCATGTCATCAAAGAAGGACTTGAAGTCGTACAGAGCATGCAAGCGGGAGATCCGTTGCTTGCGCCCTTCCCGGGGCTCCACTTTCTCGATGATCTTCATGTAATCGGCCGGGTCTTCCAAAACACCAACAACAGCAAAAAGCTTCTCTCTCACCTCGGAGAATCTTTGGTCAGGCAGGCCATGGCTATGGCCTGCCATGAAGTGGGTGACCTGGATGCTCTTAAACAAACGCAGCCATACCATCCAAGCCATGCATTTGCTGCATGTCTGGTTCTTCAGCTCACCGCTGCCGTTGTCTGCGTGAAGCCGAAGGACTTCAGGGAAGGCCCGGCCTGACTGCTGGCTCAGCTCATAAGAGCGACGAACGACGTCCATGATGATAGTCATGTCGAAGTCAGCCGTGGTCGGCACATCATTGTCAGCCAAGAAGAAGGCTTCCTCCATTCCATCCGACACCTGGGCCAGGCCAGCAGCATGCTGACTGCAAACAAAACGTATAAACGAAGAATTTAGCCGTCATTGCATGTCTAGAAACTGCTAGCGTCAGCTTCAGCTCTGGGCGCAGCATGTGGCTGAACATCTTAGCGTTGCTGATTTTGGAAGGGACCTTGAACTTGGACAGGTCCACATGTGCGCTGAAACACGATGCCACACACCAACCCATCTGAAGCAAGCCTGCTGGTCCGAGGTGGATGGGTGGCTTCCACAAGGCCTGGGCGGCAGTTGGAACGCTAGCAGTCTGATTCAGCCCTTTTGTGATGCACTCTCGCAGCGCAGTTCCACACTCTCACAGCGCGGCCCTTCGCCCTCACAGTGAGTACATGACAAACAATAGCACTGAGAGAGTGCTCAGACAGAAGCAAGCACTGAGAGAGTGCAACGTGACGTGCAAGACTCAATAGCATCCAAAACTCGGGTTTTGGCATGGGAGTCCCAATGGCTTCGAAAACCTGGGTTTTGGCATATATGGGAGTCCGCTTTTTCCCGGGGAAGGCGGACTCCCACCACAATAACCCTAAGTGTAACCCTAAACCTTCAACCCTGGAGAAGCTTGGTCACGAGCCTGCGTTTTGATTCCATTGCCAAGGCTGCCTCCAACGATGCAACTGAACAAGGTTGGATGCAGGAGACCTGGGCATGTTGGACTGCCGCCAAACTCCCAGCAAAGTTCACGAATCTTGAAACAAACTGAAAACAACAGAAACAACGTTTGGGACCTGGCAGTATTGAAACAACCAGGCCTCCTGTGGGCGCGATCTTCTCACTTCTGCATCCTTGGTCTTCAAGCCAGCTCGAGGCTCCAATGGACGCCCCTTTAGCATCTTGCCATGAACTGAAAACTGGCTTCGTTTACCCAGGGACTGTGAGCCTATACACCGGAAAGCTCCTACGAGCTCCCAAAGCCTGGCTCGAGGCCCTCGCAGCTTCTCGGGTTTCGGTCACCTCGACACAGTCCGGCTCCCGGTTTAAGCAGTGAATGTGAGAGAAGGGTTTTTTGGGCTTTAGTGTTCGTGTTTGGGGCAGTAACAGCGACCCTCACGGTGCCATTCTGAATTCTGAGCTGTGAGAGTGTGTGGAGCATCGTGTGTTGTGTGAGAGAGTCAAAGTGCTGTGAGCTTGCGCGCATTGTGCGAGTACCACAGTTGCATTTTGGGAACGTGGCAAGGAGTTAGGCAGGGGGTGGAGAAAGGGCTACTGCAAATACCATACTCGTGAGAGTCTTCGTTGTTTTGAAACGCGGTCCGGCCGGTGTTGCTGCAGGCTCAGCGCTGTGGCCCTGTATCTAGATAGGGGAGAAATCATGGATTGCGTGGACCTGCCCTCTGATGCAGAATCTGAAGGCGAGCCCATGGCTGTGATCAGCTTGCCGTCTGATCCTGATCAATGCTGATGCTCACTGGAATGCTGGTCTGTGATCATGGGGGAGAAGACCCTGGCAAGCAGGGCTGCAGAAATTTCGCAATGCCTCAAAGAGGAGACCAATGCGGGGCGCAAGGATGCCTTCAGGTATGAGTGCATGAAGACTTGGGCAAAGGGCACCGACTGGAGTGTCCAGGCCCATCGTCGCTTCTCCTTTATGGACATGGTTCCTATGTGCAGAGTGGCCTGCGCGAGGATGCTGGGCGTGTCTGCGGGCAAGATCACCACATGGTGTGGCTGGCTCAGTCAGGGCCACGTTCTTCCGCCCCAGGATATGCGCTCGGCAAAGCAATGCCGCGACGATCATGCATCTGTCACCAGTGCGCATGCTCTGTGGACTTGGGTTTACGAGTACATCGCGGAGCCTCTTGCTGAGTCCCGGATGACTGTGAGGGACTTCGACGTTGGGATGAAAGTGCAGAAGGTGCTGTCAACGCCATCACCGTCTGCAAATTCAACTGTCGTTGTCGGCGTCAGGTACCTGGCCCATGGCATGTCGCTGACGGAGCTTTGGAAGGTGGCTTCAGACTTCGTTCCGCTTGCGAAGCCATCGTACATGACATGGGTGAGATGTACCACGCAGAGTTCAAAGACATCATCAAGTGGAGAGGACAGACTCAACACAGTCAATGCAATGATTGCGCGCGGTTCAAAGCCTTCAGACGCTGCGCGTCCTCGGAGAAGGATGTCAGGGCCGTGACGGATGCGTACTTGACCCACCTCCGGCGCATGGTTTGCGACAGGCGCGCAGACACACTTCTGCGACACCAGGCCCGGCTTTCCGTGACAAAGGATGATATTACGAATGGCGTGTTGAGCGTCACGATCGATGGGATGAACACATGAGTTGAGACTGTGCCCTGTGTGTGTGTGTCTGCGCGTGTGTGCTTGCGCTTTCTGAATGTTGTTGGCGTGCGAAAATGGTCCGACAGGGACAGCGCCTCAGGCTTAGAAGGCTTAGCGCAGACAGGCGTGGCACAAATGCAGGAGTTCATGCGCTTACTGTGCATCATAGCTACGTCAGCCAAAGTACTGTACTCACACTACCAGTCCAATAACACACATGCGCATGAATGTCAGTGTGTGATGAGGAATTGAAAGTACCCCCCCCGGCCCGCGGCCCGACTCCAATGGCCAAGCGGTGCAAGTGGGGAGACGGAGATGATGATGATTGGTGGCAGAAGGAGGAATGGTGGACAAACGACAGGTGGGAGGCAGCAAACGAGGAATGGTCGACAAACGACTGGTGGCCAACTTGGCAACGGGACGAGGCCCCGGCGGTGACAGAGTCGTCGGCTGCGCGCTCGTCGGCTGCAGCGAAAAGCAAGCCGAAGGCGAAGTCTAAGCCGAAGGTCACACCAGCGCCTAAGAAAGGCAACAATCGTGGAAATGCACAGGACCAGAGGGAGTATTCACGATGGAAGGAGGACCATCGTGAACTGCAGGTCCTGCGCTATGAGAAGCAACAATGGGAAGCAAAGCTTCAAGAGGCTCAAGGTGCGCAGTGGGCAGCCGAGATCGAGGCAGAGTGGTGGGAAAACCAGACGCAGATTGCCCTGCACCGAAACGACAGCCTTTTGAATGACCTCAAGGAGGCGCAGTCCCTGAACAAGACGGCCCAGGCGTCGTGTGACGAGTTGAAGAAGAAGCACGAGGGCGAGGTCTCGAGTTTGAAGAGGGAGCACAAGGGTCGCATAGAGGATTTCGGCAGGAAGCGCAGATCCCTGCAGGACGACAAGGCAGGGTGGCAGACCACCCTCCCGAAGAAAAGAACAAACAGACAACCCTTTTCCTTATCTTTGCTACGCAGGACAACCTCGAGAGCAGGATCACCATCCTCGAGGTGCAGCATGGTGAGGAGAAGGCGGGGAAGAGAACAGCCAGTCAACTCATGATGAGTCAAGTGGCAGGCCAGACTCAAGGAAAGGACTCGTGAGCTGGAAAAGATGTTGAAAGAGGTCGGTCTCGTTTGCGTGTGTCCATTCTCCTATGTAGCCCGGCTAGATGTCCTCACTTCGGAGCTGTGTAGGCAGGGCTGTCATCGAAGCTGCAGCAGGCCCTGAGAGACACACGCGAGCTTCAGCGCAAACTTTCCTCACTGTTAGTGTCGCCGGGCAGGCGCATCGAAGCGGCGCTCCCACGGAGATCAGAGGCCTTTGAATTCAGTCTACTGACTCGCCGAAGTCAAACTTGGCAGTTGCATGCCACAGGGGCCGCGCCAAAGAACCAGCCGAAGGCAGGCTGTTGTGTTTGAATTTGAAGAACATGATTGTGCGTTTGGAGGCAGCAGCTGAGCTTGGCGACTTTCCTCCTACGATTCCACGCCCTGCTGCTCATGGGCCCGCCAGCACCTTCACTCCTTTGCCAGCTGGGCCAGCCATTGCGACTCCCTCACCAGGCCCACCAGGTCTCCTGCCAGCCCGTCCACCAGGCACTCCCTGCCGGGGCCACGCAACACCAGTGCCTCCACCAGGCCCCGCAACACCAGCATCCCCAGACGCAGGCCCTGCAACTCCGGCACCAGGCTCGGCCTGTTTCCAGGCTTCATAACACTTCATCCTCTTGACAGGGGTTGCGACGCAACAGCTACCAGGCCCTGGCCCAACGCTCCGGTGACTCCGACTGAAAGGCAAGACTTTGTACGCACCTGTGCGTGTGAGAGAGAATTGGGCACATGTGTGACTGGCCAGGCGAAGATGACTGACCCCAATCTCACACGCACTGCAAAAATAGGAAAAGCAAACTGTGTGTGCACTGAGAGAGTGCAAGGAAGTGTGCACTGAGAGAGTGCAAAGAAGTGTGCACTGAGAGAGTGCAAGACATGCATTAGGGCTGCGCATTGCTGTGTGTGTGCAGTGTCATGAATCACACGTGGACTGAGTTCCATCATGCTTGTGCGAGTGCGCAGGCCAGAACAACTGCAGATCCAGCCCGACACTCGGACATGTGTCGGCCAAGAACAGCAAAACTACATCCTGATCTTAGACACTGGGACACTGAGCCGTCTCAGGCTGCTGCGTCTGCATCGGTCCGTCGTGGAGCTTCTCATCCCCGCCCTGCGAGGCGGGGAACACACAGACCCCTAACATCAAACCTGGACCCCAGCGAGCCACACAAAAAAAAAGAGCCACAACAATAGTGTTGCGGTTTGCCACGTCGAGTTCTGGGAAGTAACACCGTAGACGTGAAACGGAACACACCGTCCCCGTCCCCCACCCACCCACTCAATAGATAAAGACATGCTGGATTTCTAACGTGACAAGTGCTAAACTTCCAAGTGCTTGTTTTCAATGGCCCTTGGCGCACTTTCGGCACCTCAGAAAATCTTTGCCATGCTCAGAGGCCAGCTAGCAGCTAGATGGATCTCGATGGTGACCGTTAGTGTGCACAAAGTCTTTTGAGTATGAATGTCTTATGGTGCTACCAATAGACTGCAAGCCATAAGCAGGACACCGGGCCCTGATCGGACCATTGTCTTAAGGCGCAGCTGATCACCTAGGTTACTTCTAGTTTCGACCCTCTCTCAGGGCCGAGGAGGTCCCAGTGCGCTCTCTCAGCGCAGGGATGATTCCCCCTTGGGTTCGGCACTCTCTCAGTGCCGGGACACTCTCTCAGTGTCCCAGTTTCGGTGCCTTGTCAGCACTTCAGGATGCTCTCTCAGCACCCTTGTCCTAAACCCTGAACGGAAAACCCCCAGGCCCAGACCGTGCGCCAGTCAAAGCTCCCCCGTTGGTTTCGGATCTGCTCGGTGGGCAAAAGGGGGTTTAGGGTTTGGGATCAAAGGCCTCGGGCGGTGGAGAAGGCTCTTGGGCTTGGAGCTTTATAGGGCATTGGGATTTATTTGGAGTTAGCAAGGTGTAGGGTGTGGTCTTCTGGAGTTGATGGCACATTTGGGTTTGGGGTATTTACGTGTCAAGTGGGTTCCCCGGGAAAGCTGACGGTTGGTGAAGCCTCCGAATTTCTCAGACTTAAGGGATTTAGGACTGCCCAATGCCAAACCACTTCAAACCAGAAGCCTCCACAACACACCCTGTCTCAAAAGTTGCAGCTAACATAGGCCCCAATGAGAGGAATCAACATCACTTTCTTGCTTTTCAACACACGAAAACGATTTATTTTGTCTGCCATTGATAAACACGTTTCCCGTTTTTCGGTTTCTCTGTTCGGCGTTTGTTTGTTGAACCCACGCAAAATACAGAAACAAAAAAGGCAAAATAGCCAGAGAAAAAGACAATTTAGCCAGATAAAGCCTTCCCTTGGCGTACCTAAAGCTCCTCTAGTATGCACAGCTGCTGGACAATGAGTTGTCTCGGCCGGGGGTGTCGACATACCAATTCTGCGCGTGAACGAAAACCACTCAGTAGAATCGACAAACTGCAGGCCGACCTTGGATGTTCGGATGCTGCCTGCGGAAACCAATCCAAGCGTGTAAATGCATGATGCACATGTTCCTGAAACGTGTGGCGGAACCCTAGGAGGATTCTGTACTTGTCTACATATCTGGCGTGTAACGCATACGGAACATGCGAAGAAAGGGGTTTCACAATGTTCCTGCCACTGACTTGCTGCCACTGACTTTCTTTCAAAGCTGCAACCGTACTGCAAAGCACTGGTGCAAGTTGCGAGCCCACGCTGGCTCCTTGGGCTTGCTGCGCAGCATGCGTCCCAACACTCAAAGCAGCAGCTTGCAACAGAAACGACACCGTGCGCGGAACCTCATGAATGGCAATTAGGAGATGACGATGAGCTTGTTCCCGGTAGCGACCTCGAAACACTCGATGAAACTGATCAGCTTGCTTGATGGAAACTGACAACTCGTGATCCACGTCAACCTTTCCTCTTTGCATGAACCGACGGAGGACCGCTCGCAGGCTGTTCAAGATACGTGAATGAGGCACGGCGTTAAAGAAAACGGCAACGTCCTGTTGCATCAACAAGAGCTCCTCGTCAATCGGGGCCGCCTGCATGATTTTCCACATCTGCTGTAAGATGTGCATCACCGATGGCTGCTGGCCTTGGGTAGCAGGTACGCCTTGGGGAGCGGTTTGGAAAAGATGAGAGCTTTTTGATTTCGTAATTGCTTTCTAGCCTGCATCAAAATCTCATCTCGAGTCACTGCCGCTGATTGAGGTAGCGGGCGAAAGATGTTGCCATCGAAGAATGCGCCAATCATCAGTAGGCGAAACTGCGCAGGACATGCTATATGAAACTGTGTAGGGAAATGGTCCACTGGTAAGGTGGCCCAGTGTCGTACACAATGACCGGCTGCTTTGATCGCCTTGACAGATTCAATGTTGACTAACAGCCGGTTTCGGCAATTTTCCAAGCACTGGCAAATTTTGTGAACTGTCGATGGTGGTGTCTGAGGAATTGCTGCTCGGATGCCCAAACGGTATCAGTCATGGAATGGGTAAGAACATTGTGAAACAAAATCGGATACAGCGTGACTGCATCTGTGGCTGAGCAAAAGACATGACCCCACTTCGCGCGTGGCAATTCCTGGCACGGTGACATGCGCACGCTGGTGACTTCTCATGTGTCCAATCCTTGATGAAATTCCGATGATTGAAGAGCACCTGACCCAATGTTCGGTTCTGGATTTCCACCATCTTTGACCTTGGGTAAGTGGTACGGCGGGAACCATAGGGAATTGTGCTCCACGAAGCTCTTGATCCGCGACCTAGCTGCTTGTAAGAAATCGCCAGGTCCTTGTAGAACCTTTAACATGCGATTGACAGGCGATATATCTCCACCTCGAAACCTGAGGGCGGAGGTCGGCAATGTGGTGGCTCTTGCTCTTTCCAGGGAATCCAGCATAAGTGTAATTAAGTCGAACCAAGTAACACAGAAAGGACACTGGAACATGTTGGGGCCGCAAAAAACTGGACACAGTGAACTTCTGTACTGAATTGCTGCCAAGTTGTGATAGCAGTTGAAGGTGCGTGGACGTTTCCTGCAGATCACCTGAAGCCAAGTCCAGGTGCAGTCGTCGAGCTGTGTCTCGACGTCGTCGATGCAATCGCCGGCCGGGAGCTCCCGTGGTAGGATTATGATTTAGTATAGGTTTTTACGGAAAAACCTACTTTCTTGAGCTCCTTGTGAACCCAAAGTGCAATTAGCCGACTGCGACGCTGTCGTATGAGTAGAGCTTCGTGAGCTCTGAGTTCATCAGCGTCAGGGCATATTTTGAGCACAAGCTGGTAGAACTGGTCATAGGTGCCGGTAACCAACCAGAATCTCAGCGCTGGCTCAAAGTAGACCGGTCGCTCTCGTCTGATCTGAATGAACTTGGAATGGCGAGACTGTTCCCTTTCTTTGACGGTTTCATGAGCACTGCCGATATACCATTGACGTTGAGAAAAACTAATCCGCAAAACGTACAACAGATGGCTGAAAGTGCCAACATCTAGGATACTGCCAAGGGACTTGGCCAGTCCTTGTAGCTACGGGCCATCGTCTTGGTGGGATCAGGCCCCCGAACTAGTCACTCCCTCAAGGCAGCACACGCTGCAAGCAACTTAAAAATGAGTGCCTCATTCTTGCGATTGGCTGCCTGCTCCACTGTGGCTCCCCACGACACCAACAATGAGCCACGATCTGGGAGAACTCCTGCCGGTGCGTTCTTGATGAGGTCCTGGATTTCGGTCATCATGCTGGTGTGTCGCTCCTTGACAGTGGCATCTCCACATCCGCAGTTGGCACGGATCCATCCTGCGACTGCCTGAGTGGATGTCCCTGAAAGGTTGTTCGACAAGTGTTTTGGCTCCTGCGCTTGACTTTCGAACTTCTGGAACCGAAGCAGCAACGTGGCATGCTCTTGTGAGACTGTGGCAGGCCGCGGCATCTGGTTCTTTGCCGAAGGTTGGACTGCTTGAGACGGTCCTCCTGCTGCCTTGAGTGGTTGGTTTTCTTCTTCCAGGGCCTGCATCCTGTTCAGGAGGTCCTGTGACTGTGTGACCGGAAGTTTGGCGACCATCATCTCCGCCGTTTCCTTCGCCGCGAGCTCGGTGAGTTTGAATCGGTAGGACCAATCGTTGAGGTCCTTGACCCCGCTGTAGTTCACTGTGCCTGACAATCTCTGATGCGCACTTTTGATAAACTCATTGAGATCCAACTTGGGAAAATGGTCTCGCGTGCGCTTGCTGAGAAGAGAATGGAACACAGCTTCCTGGCGAGATCTGAACACCTCAACAGCCACTGCCTTGCCGTTGGCCACAACTCTCAAAGGCCATGACTCCAGATTCGAGTGGAGCAGAGCCGCTAATGGCACTTGATGAATCGGCATGTTAGCAGTCTTATTGGCTCGCAAGAATTCTGTAGGTAGAACATGTCGCCGCAAGGTGAAACCATAGGCAGCGTTGGCATCCAGCTGGCGATGATCCTGCTTCTACGTGGATGGTACCTTTTAGGCGTCCTCCGCTCGGCTGTGGAGTAGATCTCTCCAGTTGTCCTCGGACCTGGCCCTTGCTTTGGAGCGATCCTGCGTGGGCGAGGACGGCCGGCGACGATGACGATGAAGTGATGAGCGCCTTGACCGAGACCTTCCCAAACTTGGTGGCCGGGGTCGCAACGGGCTTGGTCGTAACGTGTGCCTGGATCGGGGTGTTCGAGATCTGAAGGATGGTTCAGGTCGATCTTCACGCCGATTCTGAGGATCATGTCTGGGAGATGGAGTGAGTCGACTGTGTCCTTCTCTGTCGATCACCCTGCTGCGGCTATCCGCAGTATGACGGGAGATACTGAAATCTCTGCGGAACGATCGAGCAAAATGCATGAACATGAAATATCACATCATGAAAACCTGCTGTCAACACAATGCTTCAGATGCAGACTTGCACCATTCGTCGCATCTCTCATTGTTTATTGCTCAAGTCATGTGGGTGAAATGACCAATCCTGGTAATCAATGCCAAAATGCAGCATGAGGGCCCCCGAAAAGAACTAACAGCAGCTGCAATCATGCATGGGTGAAACATTTGTGAGACAGCGCCGTTACATGTGAAGAGGACCTGACATATGCACAGTTTGCGCGAAACCATGGACATGCAGGAGCACACGCAGATCTGCTGGAGGGACTCAGTGCGCAAACGCAGCACGCGGGCCCCGAAAAGAAGTGGAAGTGCATGTTGCGACGCACGTGCAAAACCAGGTGAAACTGCCAGCCGCCATGCAGGACCCTGCTGCACGTTCATCTGCGCCATTGCTGCACCTCCGTGTACCGGTGAGGCTGCAAATCCAACCGGAATCCGCGACGGTGGCCCGACTTGCGAGGGAAACACGGGCCGGGAAGGGTAGCTGCCCTGAAGGTCGTCGAATTTTGGGAGGTGTCGCTGTGGCCCTGGCCTTGGTCGAGCCATCTGTTCGGCCTGTTGACCCTGTGCCTGCCAGTCACTTGACCTCCATCTTTTGGTAGATCCGGCTTGATCATGAGCAGTCTGGTGCCACCACTGGTCCTGTTTGGGCTGTGATCGCCAAGAGTCTCGACTGTGATGACGCTGCTGCCAATAGTTCTGCTTCTGCCAACTGTCATCGGTCCACGAAGATGATTGCTGCCAAGAATCTTGACTATCGGTTGTCTTGTCCGGCTGTCAAACGGAATCACCTGGCTTGTTCATGTTGACTGTCTTAGGTTGATGAGCCAGGGTGGCCGCTGCCTTCTCCTGCTCACGACGCTTCCGTCGTTTTCTTTGCAGCCGATGTAGCAGTTCTTCTCCACTGCTTGAGCTCATGGCTGAATCACAACTTGCTATTAAAACACCGCAGGAAATTTAACCGAAGTTGCTATAGTAGATCAGCATACGAGTTGTCTAACCGCGCACGCAGCAATCTGTCTAGTGGCCATCGGCCTCCTTTATGACCTAATGGTCTTCTCCAACCCGAAGGTCTACTTGTTGACAAGGCGTGCAAACGCGTCGACTCCTTGGCCCCCGCACGTGGAGAGGAGGCATTCCTCGAACATCGGTCCCATCGGGGCTTCTTATGGCTCGCCAGGCCTCCGCTTCCTTTATCCCTACCCACGAGGGGACTGGCACACCTACGACACAACCGGGCCGGTAGGTCGCACCAGAGGTGCTCACACTGATGAATGCGATTGCTGCTGACATTTGACATAGTTCCCAACTCCCATCTGCCATACTGTATCATGTAGTGTCATAGTTAATTCAGGATGTAGGGTGAAACTGGTGTAGGTCATGTGTAACTATGAAACATGTTAGAAAATCCATTGCTCTGAGAGAGTGTAGCTGCATGCTGTAGGAACAACAGCTGCGCCGATTTGCACTCCATTTTGCACATCGAACAGCGCAAGCACCCCAACTGAACAGTCTGAAATCTTGTCTGTGTCAATGTCTGAGGGCCCGACTTTGTACACTCGTTTCTGTAAATCGAAAAGGCTCCCGACTTTCGAACACGTGCAGGTACGTGGATTCCGCGTCCGGAATCCATATCACAGTCAATGGATAGGCGTCTTGGTTGGCACCTGACCTATCCATGGCCCATGTGCCCCCTGCTACTCAAAATAGATGGTTGAGGCATCGAGGCCGCTTGGAAACAGCGGGTGCAGACACGCATCCTCTCGTGGGAGAGTAGTTAAAGCCAAGATACATTCCAATGCCGGGCAACTGCGAGTACGGCCCAGGAGTGTGTTAAGAAATTTTATTAATTAAGAAATCTGGACCTGGACCGGCCACACATTTTAAAATCCAGGGCCTCGCGGGCTCGCCCCAAAAAATTCCGCCGAGGAAGTATTAAGTAACGTTCTCTGTCATATTTACCAAGAACCCAAGAAACTGCAAGCCTCAAACCCTCTAATCCCTTAAGCCCCGTAGTCTCAACCTAAAGCCTCTGCACGTTCAAGCCTTTAGAACGCCACCTGCCCTACTAGTTAACTGAAATCCCCAGCCCTCGGAGTCAAAAAGCCCACTGTAAGAGCCTAAGTAGACCCCCGCGACTAACACTTGACACCCTCAAACTAACCCCAGGAAGATGAAGAGGACGTGCTTCGCCTGCCCAGCTCGGGCGTCGATTGAGTTTTGAATATTTGGGTAGGCTAGTGGGTTTTGGGTAGGCTAGTGGGTTTTAAGGGTTCAGGTCTGGTGGGTTGCAGGGGTTTACAAGTTTAGGGGTCTTTTTGGCTTCAAGCGACTCACAGGCGATGCTTACCAAGGGGCGCTAGGTGCGGGGTCTGAGCGTCTGGGCTTAGGGTTTAGGGGAAAATGTTTCAGCAGGCCCACGGCAAAGCTTCCAAACCTCAAGTAACACGGCGTTTTGTACGGCACAGCACAAGCTTCGCGGAGCTCTTCAAGCCCCAGACGTCTACAAAACCTGAACCGTTGAGTTCCCACGGTCCGCTTGCATGGCGCCATGCGTTTGAGCTGGCACTTCAGGCAGCGGCGGCCGCGTTTGCGTCAGGAGCTAGTCAAAAAACCTTCAGCCAGGCTGTCACGCCCTACGGGGCAACAACAGAGAACAACGCAACCACACAAACATTTCTACCATTTCGCAAAAGTGGTGTTGCCCTCGTCACACACTCACTGCCCATTGCAAGGCAGGTGGACTGTCGAATTGAGAGGAATAAGGCCAAGCCCTAAGCACCCGACACCCTCTGCAGTGTACATTTCACATGGAAGCTGCTCAGGGCCTGCGCCTTTCCAGAACCAAAAGCGAGCTAAATACTGCCTCACGCGTCGTCCTCCACAGGGGACGGCTCTTGCACCACAGCCTTCATTGCAGTGGTGGCTTGGATCTCTTGCGCTGTCATGGACGCCTGGCAGGGATTGCATTGCCGATCCTCAACCCTGAGCCCTCAACCCTAAACCCTAAAAAGTTTCTCAAAAGTATTCCGTTGCGCCTCGTAATCGACTTCTTCCCTTGCACAGCAAAAAGCGGATTGCTTTCTACTGTAATCTTTTCATCGTGAACCGCATCCAGGCGAATAAGCAAGCCAGAACAAAGACAGCAATTGTAATGTTCACGCCGCTTCTGGCCGACATATTTCCGCCACACTGCACCGACCCAATGTGTGGCGTAAATGCGTCGGTCCCGAGCCGAGAGATGCCCAAACTGGTCGAAATTCTCGAGCAGATACTCCATCTGCTCCTCTTGGAACAAATGCTTGTGAAGTCGGCCCACATGCCTATCAATCATCTGGCACACGTGTGTTCCTCCAGGCTCTGTATGGAGGATCTGCGTGTCTGCCTGTTGCATTTCCTTCTGCCAGCCCCTGCGAGTCTGACTGGCATGGCTGTCGAGCGTCAGGAGGACTGGCACTCCAGGACTGGTCTCTTGCTTGAACTCCTTCCAAATTTTCGTCCACTCGTCATTGGCTTCACGGCAAAGATAGGCTTTCTTCGTGAAGAAAACCCTGACATCCGGGTCATAGCTTGCTCTCTCCAGGGCACTGACTTGACCAGCTCCGAAAAAATAGACCACCGGCGGCATCTGTCGATCTTCCAGGTTGCAGGAGTAACACATGTCCCAGGTGAAAAATCTCTTGGCCCACTTTTTCGGTCCGCTTTGGACGTGGATGCAGCCGGCCTGCCGCTCCTCCAAGCTTGCCCAAGTTTTGCCCGAGCCACTGTAGTCAAAGCCTGCGCAGAGCAGAATCCACGCTCACCAAAACGAAAAAAAGTCACATCGCATTGAAAACCTGTGCTGAAATGATGTCTAGGAGCTGAATCCCACTTGGTCACGATTGTATCGCGCCGAAGGCTTGAAATAACCATAATGAAGGTGAGGATCCGGAATTCGGGCGCCCTGGTTCTCTAGAGGCTTTTTCAAGCAAAGGAAACGAACTTTGTCCACGAACTTTTGCATCATCGCACAGTCAGCTTGTGAGGTGCACTTCTTCTTCTTCGTGGCAACACGTGGCCGCCAGGCACGAACAGCAAGCCACCTCCGAACCCATTGCAATCGAGGTTGCCATGGCTCACCTGTGCGCCTGACTTTCGGCCACACCAATCCAGGGGCGTGGCGCTGGGCATCCACTTTGGCGAAAACCCGCTGCGCCAAAGCAAAAGCCACCTTGGAAGTCAACTTCCAACCCTTCTTCCGCGCTGTCTTCAAAGCCTTGGAGAAGCGTTTGTCAAAGTGCAGCACGAGCTTGTTCTTTCTGAAATAGCCTTTGCGTGTCTGAGTGATCTTTGCTTTTCCAGATTTTGCTGCTGCCTTAAGCAGCTCGTCATATTTGCGGCTCCAGTTGTAGACAGTGTTATACGCATGCTTTGTGCCAGTGGCTCTGCCGTACTCATCCACAACCGGGTGGCCACTCGCCTTGCATGCTCTCCAGGTATCCACTGCATCCACCATTCCTCAGCGCGCAAGATTACACATATGTAGCGCAAGGATGTGCTTACGGCTCCCCCCCCCTGCAAAAAACAATCCAGATCACAGGCAAGGATCTCCGCGGAGACACCCTGGGCCGCTTCTTGGCGCCCGTCGTCATTTTGGGCAATCCTGCTTTGGTCAGCTTGCATGATGTCCCAGCTTGCTTTGCACCGTCTAAAGCAGAACCTCCAGACGGCTCGATGATCTCCACGTCCGAACTAGTCTCCTGCTCGTGACATGGCGTCGGCGAAGTCTGTGGTGACACCGGCGCCACTCCTTCCTCGCCAAGCAGAAGACCCACAGCCTCTCCTGGCCGCTCAAAAGCGGCGTGCCCCACACTGCCTTGTGGGAGCCTATGCACACGGTAGTGGTTCTGCAGAGCTTGTGATGTTTTGAACGTGTCGCTGCATATTTGGAAAGAGAAAGGAAAAACGTCTTCGACAAGTCTGCCATCCAACGTGCGCTGCTTCATTGGCACAGGAAGCGTTAGTCCCTAAGCTACGGATTGACATTGAACTTTGTTGACGGAAAGCCACTAGCAACTCACTACACCTGTTCAGACTGTTCAGCTTGCTCCATCACAAGCTTGGGCAGTCACGCTGTCCGGTCCGTTTTATTGGGAAGACTTGTGTGGGACCGACTTTCCAAGTAAACGCTCAGCTGAGCAGAATGTGGAATGTGGCTGTGTCTTATTAAATTATTGCACCCCCCCCTCCGCGCCTTCTCCGTCCACCGGCGCCGGCTGCAGCTGCTGTAGAGGTGCTCCGCGGAGGTGTATCGCCATATTACACCCTTCAAACCTACTTATGTTCCCCAACTCTGTCCCTATACTCACCTCTAATCAACCCTCGAATAAGAAATATATTTCAGGGTCTGGTTCAAACCTAACTTTCTTATTTCCATTTGGGGCTTTAAGAAATTTCGAAACCCTGGCTGAAAAAGGCAGATTTCTTATTAGAAGCCTCAGCCGTATTCGTTTTGTTTTCATCATGGCCCCCATTGCCTAGTGGGTAGTAGGCCTGAGTAAAGCTGCCAACTTTCCACGCTCTGTTGGGAGCACATGCCGAAGGTGCAGGTCTGTAGATCACTGTGAAGCTGCAAACTTTCCACGCTCTGCTTGAAGCACATGCACCATAACACAAACCTAAAACACACAAACCTAAACCACACGAGACCGAAAGGGTGGGGGGAAGAGGGAGGGGAGAAGGGACGAAACGGGGCGAGAAGGCAGGGAATGCAGGAGGAGAGGAGGGGAAACCGGGAAGAAAACAAAACCTGGAGAACCATGGGAAGGGACCAAGCATATATTAACCCGACGCAGATGAAGTACGGGCCAAAGGTGAAAGTCTGTAGGTCGCTCTGACGTTGCACACTTCCCGCGCTCTACTTGAAGCGCATGCCGAAGGGACGGTCTGTAGGTCAGTGTGAAGCCGCCTTCCACGTTCTGTTTGAAGCACATGCCGAAAGATAGCAATGGATGAATCCCTTCCTGCAGCGGTTGCAGGCGTCTGCAGGTGTCACACACACACACAACAGCCAGATGCCTGGAAAGACTTCGAATCCGAGCCAGACAACACTTGCCACTTGCCACTGACACAACCGAAAACAAATATGAAATGTGCACATGCCCAGCTCAGCTTTACAACGCCCCCACATGAAGGTTCAGGGGTTGAGGGTATAGGGAGGTTGCCGAATCTGTCCTAGACTATAGACCCTAAACCCTGCTCCCTCAACCCCAGGACCCTGAGACCTAAGCGTACACCCTGAACCCTCAACCCTAAACCCTTCAAACCCTAAACCCTAAACCCTGAACCCTAGTTGGCCCTAGAAGGGTGTATCCTCGTCGCCCTCAGCATGTTCCAGACTCATACGGTCTTTGCAAGTGGCCTTGACAGAGCTGCGCAGCAGGGCAAGGGATTAGGGGTCCGGGTTCAGCGTTTAGGAATTCAGGGTCTTGGGCGGGAATTCTGCCTACTCAACATCGGACAAGAGGGCTGAGTTCAGAAAATCCCCTTAAATCCCACTGAGCGGGGAGAGGGGCTCTTGTATTCTTGTGGCTTTCTACTATTTGCTTAAGAACAACCCCCCCCCTCCCCCCCCCCCCCCCCCTCCCCCCTCCCCCCCCACAAAAAAAGAGACAAGTGGGGTTCTTGAGCAAAAAGCAGTGTAGGGTAACTTCCTTCAGCTAGTTTGGCAGAGCTGAGTCCTTGACCCCCCCCCATCCTTCACAAAGTCCGCACAAGTAAGGCCGTGCAACAGAAACCCTTAAGGAGAAGATAAAAGGAGGAGTTTTCATCAACTGGAAGCTACGTGGCACTTTAAGGGTTGTTGTAGGAGTTAAAAGAGGCTAAACTCCAAAGCCCAAAAGGCTAGTATAACCCTGGCGCTTGCAGGCGTTCTGCAGCAAAAGCCCCCCCGCCCCCGCCCCCGCCCCCCCCCCCCCCCCCCTAAACCCTAAACCCTAAACCCTAAACCCCCCAAAAAAGAAAAGCCAGGGCTGCGGCGTGAATAAAGCACCTGGGCTCAGCTTCGGACTCTTGGGGTTTTGGGGGTTTAGGGTGTAGGGTTTGGGGTTTAGGGTTTAGGGTTTAGTGATAACGCTAAAGCCATAAGACTCGGAAATCTAGAGCCCTAAATCCGAAGCCCTGACAGCCTTAATGTACTAGGGAACCCTTTAGCTTGAAGCCTATACTTGTTCGGCTCCCTAGCTTCGTGAACAGTGCTTGTAATGCACCCATGAACTTTCCACGGGTTTAACCGTGCTCTTATTGCCCTGATTACACCCTAAACCCTAAACCCTAAACCCTGAACCCTATGAACTTTCACGTGGGCGCCTTTTTGGCTTGTAGGTGCTGCTGGTGTCTGCCGGCCCCTGGATTGTCGGGCCGGGCAGGGTTGGAGGCCTTGGGAAAAGCCCGAACCGTTAGAGCCGAAACCTAAAACCCTGAAATCCCTTAAACCCTAAAACCCTAAGATCCCTAAAACCCTAAAACCCTAAGATCCCTAAAACCCTAAAACCCTAAAACCCTAAGGCCGTAACACCCAAAAACCCAAAAACCCTAAGACCCTAAAACCCTAAACCCTCTAGAACTATCCGATATGAACAGAAACGCCAGGAGGCTCGAAGACAACGACCAGCAAAGCACCTGGATTTGTCTGCGTGTGAACGAAAAAAAACTTGCGTGGCCTAGGGAATAAATGCAATTTTTTGGTTTACAGGCTGATAATAAGGGAGCCGAAACCCTACAAAAAGGGAATAAGGGCCTACTCTGGGTCCTAGTATAGGCACCCTTTATGCACCAATAGCAGTCGCTCATACAAAGCCGACAATCTGACCGCACTGTGCATGTATCCCTGGTCGGGAGTTCCTATGCTCAGGATTCAAGTTGTTGTGGGGCATGGGACCCCCGAACCTTAAACCTTAAACCCTGCTCTAGTACTTGCTTAAGAACCCACTCCCCCCAAAAAACAAAAAACAATCTTCTTTATAAGGCAATATAGGGAACTTCTTGTATATACTTTTGGGGTTCTTAAGCAAATAGTAGTGTTCTAAGCCCTAAACCCTAATTTCTAAACCCTAAACCCAGAACGCTAAACCCTAAACCGGCAAGACACGATGCTGGAGCACACGTTTGCTTTTGAAGTCGCGCCTACGTGCAAGGGCCTCTGAGATTGGGTACTTCCATGCCAATTTTAGGGTTTAGGGTTTAGGGTTTAGGCACTTCATCGGAGCAACACATAACCAAAGCATCTATGGGAATGGTATCGCGAACTATGGAAGGGAAGAGACTGTAGATCAGACAGGGTTGGATGTGCAGTCGGGCTTCAGGTTTGGGGTCGAGGCAGTGCGACACAGAATTTCTGTCGCTGCTTAGGGTTTAGGGTTTAGGGTTTAGGGTTTAGGGTTTAGGGTTTAGGGTTTAGGGTTTAGGGTTTAGGGTTTAGGGTTTAGGGTTTAGGGTTTAGGGTTTAGGGTTTAGGGTTCCATCTTGGCTCTGCAGGCTTTCCAACAACAAGAAACAAACCCAAGCCCTCGCACACCGGACCAGACCCTGCTGTTCTTGCGACCCCTGGACGAAACGTGCCAGGACAGGTGTGAAGCAATTGGGGTTTAGGGTTTAGGGTTTAGGGTTTAGGGTTTAGGGTTTAGAGCGCTCTGCATCAGCGCTTCGCATCCTGGTCGTGGGGCAATGCCTTGGTTGGGAGTCATTGGAGGCGAAGGCGCCTCAACCACTGGCCCGGTGTAAGCTAAAACCCTAAACCCTAAACCCTAAACCCTAAACCCTAAACCCTAAACCCTAAACCCTAAACCCTAAACCCTAAACCCTAAACCCTTCAGCCAGTCCTGCAGTGACGAGTCCTCGGAATCTGACGCGGATTCTCCCATCACTTGTCCCTCCTCCGCACCAGCTCTTGACGGCGACACATCCTGCGACTTCATCGCCAGGACCGGGGAGAATTCAAGGCCCGCAGTGTAGAAGAAGAGGTAGAGACTAAACGCCAGGTGGGATCCCATGGTGGGTGTTGGGTGTGGAAAGAAATCCCCTTTGACAGCTAAAATAACCGGCTGCAACTAAAGGTGCACTAGCTAAAAAAGCAGGGGGTAGACACCTCTTGGCCTGCTCCTACATGTCAGGGCGGCGGCAAACCCAAAACCCCTTCCCCATCCTAATCCTGAATGTTTTTTGCAGAACCCCTGCAAGCACATTTCTTGCCCTGTAAGCCCAAACAAACCCATAGCCCTGAACCACACACCCTCAACCCCAAACCGACAACCTCTAGGGTTTAGGGTTTGGGGTTTTTCTTTAACCCTGAATCCCAAACCTTCCAGAACCCTAAGCCCCAAACCAGAATCACCTAAACCCGACTCCCCATGAAAATCTAAACGATAAAGCCAGAAAGCCCAAAACCGCAACGACCTAAGTATAGGGTTTAGGGCCGCGTTCTTCTAGGGAATTAGCGTATACAATCCCATAATGGGTTCTAGATTCTCTATGATTCAATAAACCCAAAAAGCCATAAATCCCAAACCCTAAGCCGCAAACCCTTAACCCCAAACCCTAAACATTCACTAAGAAACTAGCCCGACACTTTAAAACCCAAACCTAAACCCTAAATCCCACTAAGAAACTAGCCCGAAACCCTAAACCCTAAACCCCAAACCCTAAACCCTTAAACCCAAACCCCAAACCCTGCTAAAAAAATAGCCCTAAACCCTAAACCCTAAACCCTAAACCCTAAACCCTAAACCCTAAACCCTAAACCCTAAACCCTAAACCCTAAACCCTAAACCCTAAACCCTAAACGCAACCTCAGGCCGCCACTTGACCAGCAAAGGAAGGTCTTGAAGATGCCATGCCAGTCCCTGTCTGCATCCTTTGTTGCGAGGAAGGGGGTTAGGGTTTAGGGTTTAGGGTTTAGGGTTTAGGGTTTAGGGTTTAGGGTTTAGGGTTTAGGGTTTAGGGCCAGTTTAGGGTTTAGAGTTTAGGGTTTAGGGTTTGGGGTTTAGGGTTTAGGGTTCAGCATCTCAAGTTCGAGAATTTACCACATGTTTCACAATCCCGAGCTCCTGAAGCCCGACTAAACCCAGGAGTAACCTAGGAAGCAAAAGGGTGCCCTTTTTGGTTTAGACCCAAAAAAGGTTTAGGGTTTAGACTTTAGGGTTTAGGGCAGTTTAGGGTTTAGGGTACGGGGCACATCAGTAGGGTCTTCCAGGCTCAATTCTTGTCTGGGGTGAAGGTACAACTCCCCTCATTCCTTTAACCCTAAACCCTAAACCCTAAACCCTAAACCCTAAACCCTAAACCCTAAGCCCTAAGCCCTAAGCCCTAAGCCCTAAAACCTAAATCCGGAAAAGGTTTGGGCTCGTACAGAAGGATTTCGGCTGTCATAAACTTTGAGCTTGCAGGAGTTCTAAGCCCTTGAGACAATCACCAGGATGTGCGATTAGGCCTCATCGCCTCATAGCACCTGCAGAAGGAACCCTATGAAGGGCCTTGGTAATGGGGGCTTAGGGAACCCTCATCCCTGGGGTTTAGGGTTTAGGGTTGAGGGTTGAGGGTTTAGGGTTGAGGGTTGAGGGTTTAGGGTTTAGGCTTAGGGTTTAGGGCTTCAGGGCGTCCGAGCAGCGTCGTCAAGATCTAATCGATCGCCGCGCTCCTCTGCCAGCGAGTTGAGCTGCGGCTCCTGTAGACCGCTGTGGCATGAGGTGGTGTAGGGTTTAGGGTTTAGGGTTTAGGGTTTAGGGTTTAGGGTTTAGGGTTTAGGGTTTAGGGTTTAGGGTTGAGGGTTGAGGGTTGAGGGTTGAGGGTTGAGGGTTTGGGGTTTGGGGTTTAGGGCAAAATGTCAAAACCTTAGACCCTCAGACCTGAACCCTTGACCCTCACTCATTCATTGACTCATGAGTTATAGGGTCCTTAAGGGAGGGGGGGCTCAAAGGGGGATATGCAACCCAAGGTTCCCTCATTCTCTCTACCACCCCCTATGGCCTCCCTACGCTTCCCTAAGGTTCCCTGGGTGAAGAAAAGGACGGCTTGAGCTGGGGATGCCTTGTAGGGTGCCCTGGCTTTTGGGTCCTTGAGGGAGGTTAGGGTTTAGGGTTTAGGGTTTGGGGTTTAGGGGTTTAGGGGTTTAGGGGTTTAGGGGTTTAGGGGTTTAGGGGTTTAGGGGTTTAGGGGTTTAGGGGTTTAGGGGTTTAGGGGTTTAGGGGTTTAGGGGTTTAGGGGTTTAGGGGTTTAGGGGTTTAGGGGTTTAGGGGTTTAGGGGTTTAGGGGTTTAGGGCTTTAGGGCTTTAGGGCTTAAGGGGTTTAGGGGTTTAGGGGTTTAGGGCTTTAGGGGTTTAGGGGGGTTCATGGGGGGTAGGTACCTAGGGAACCTTAGGGAAGCTTAGGGAACCTTAGGGAGCCTTGGGGAGTATTAGTGAACCTAGGGGTTTTTTCCTTAAACCCCACTCCCTAAAGGACCCCATACAGGTTCTGTGGGGACAGCCCGAAGCCTCAACCCCAAACCCCAAACCCCAAACCCCAAACCCCAAACCCCAAACCCCAAACCCCAAACCCCAAACCCCAAACCCTAAACCCTAAACCCTAAACCCTAAACCAAAGTAAAAATTGGAAGCCTGACCCTCTCGACAGCCAACGGTAGCCCCCTAAGCCCAGTAAAACCAGAAAGCCCTGCAAACCCTACAAGCCGCACAAACCCCAAAACACTATAAACCCTATAAAACCCTGTAAACCCTAAAAACCCTGTAGACAAAAATTCTTTATGAACCTTAAAGACGCGACGAACCCTATGGGCCCTAAGCCCTTGCAAAGGCCTTTTCTGTAAGGCTTTAAGTTGGGATGTTGCCCCAAATATACTAACAATCCTTAATGGGGATTATCATCGGGGTAACCCTAAACCCTAAACCCTAAACTGCCCTAAACCCTAAACCCTAAACCCTAAACCCTAAACCCTAAACCCTAAACCCTAAACCCTAAACCCTAAACCCTACACCCTAAACCCTAAACCCTAAACCCAAACCCTAAACCCTAACCCCTTAACCCTAAACCCTAATAATCCCTATGATTGACTGTCAGTCTAAGGGGGAACATCCCAAGCCTTCTGGCTTAAGGGCCCTCCTTGCGCGGTCCTTGATCATGGTGGTCCAAGGGAACACAAACCGGAACTCTACTGCAGGTCAGTGAGACCTACGCCCTAAACCCTAAACCCTAAACGCTAAACCCTAAACCCTAAACCCCCCCCAAGACCAGGCTCAAAGTGTGAGACTCGACCATGAGTCCCCAAGCCATGCAAACCCCCAAAAATGCGCGCAGCTCAGGGTCTTATGGTGTTTAGGGTTTAGGGTTTATTTAGGGTTTAGGAGGTCTAGGGTCCCTCCTTGTGTGAAATCTCTTCAAGAAAGACCCCTGCAAAGGGGGCCCTCGCCCCCACGAAATGACCCTGACGCGCCTGAAACCCTGACATTGGCGCCTGGATGGGCAGCGACAAGGTTACCGACTTCTGTCCATTCATGGGGCGCTGGCGCCCTCAACGCCCGAAACCCTTACCCCTTACCCCTAAACACAGAAGGGGTTTAGGGTTTAGGGTTTAGGGTTTAGGGATGAGGGATGAGGGATTAGGGCTAGTCTGATGCCGCTTAGGTTTCTAATTACGGCTATGTAGGGTATATAGTGGGGCTATGTAGGGTAGGATTCAGAGTTCCTTTCGTTGCTTAATAGGGGTTGACTTCAGGGGGCTGGCGGCTTTCAGGGTTCGACGCTTTCCCGGTGAGGGTTTAGGGTTTAGGGTTTAGGGTTTAGGGTTAGGGTGAAGGGTACGAGTCAACCACGACTCCCCCTGAGTTGAAGAGCCGAGACAGCCAGCGGAGGAAGCTGAGAGTTGCCCGAGGTTCGGCCCCCTTTCTGGGTTCAGGGTTTAGGGTCTAGGCATTATCGGTCCCTTTGCTATGGGGAACCCTAGTATGCAACATATCTTGCTTACTACGACGGGAAAGGAACTCACAACAATCCGTGTTTAGAGCTGGAGCTCTGTGGTTTGCTTTCCCTAAACCCTATATACTAAGGGTTAGGGTTTAGGGTTTTAGGGTTTAGGGTTTAGGGCTACTGAGCTGTAGCTAAGTAGGGTTGCAAGTATCAAGGTTAGACCAACAGCCCTAGCCTTAAAGCCTGAACCCTAAACCCCAAACCCGCAACCCTGAACCTGAAAAGCCGAGGCAGTAGCCCTAAACCCTAAACCCTAAACCCTAAACCCTAAACCCTAAACCCTAAACCCTAAACCCTAAACCCTAAACCTTAAACCCTAAACTAGCCTTCGCAGGGTATTCGCAGGGAGAGCGCGAAGGCGATCGCTCCTCGCAAGCCGCTGGCCTTGGATTAAAAGCGCAGAACACCACGAGCGAAGGGTTTTGGATTGGTTAAGGGTTTATAGGGTTTAGGGTTTAGGGTTTAGGGTTTAGGGTTTAGGGTTTAGGGTTTAGGGTTTAGGGTTTAGGGTTTAGGGTTTAGGGTTTAGGGTTCAGGGTTTAGGTTTAGGTTTAGGGTTTGGGGTTTGGGGTTTAGGTTGGGATGTTCTCCCTTATACTAACAGCCCCTAATGGGGATTCTAATCGGGGGGGTGTACATATAATCATATGAGTAAAGCTGGTAGTTTTTTTCTTAAGGGGGAACATCGCCAGTTATACCCTATATTTGGGGTTGCGACCTACTGAATTGCAGGGTTCTGGAGTCATAGTAAGGGCCTCCACATGGAGTATACTGAGGGATTAAGAGCCTCCGGGTATGGAGCTGGTAGAAGTCAACCCTAAACCCCGAACCTAAAATCCTAAACCTGAAACCTAGGCGCTCTGGCTTTCAGCTTCTTTGCATGCGCATGTGGTGCGATATGTGGATTCTTCGCATGTTGCAATGGTTAATGCTTACAGGGGTCAGTGGTTACCACGGTAATTCCCCCGCTTTCACCAGTTTGAAGCCAGATAGAGTCTGCATTTTGCAGACTACTCCTCATTCTCGAGGGGTGGCAGCAATGTCGTCCAGCAACCAGGAGCTCTCCGCGCAGCACCTCCACCAGACAGCCACCTATACGTACTCCGGCGCCAACCAGGTCTACTACGAAGCACAGAACCAGTGGTTTCAGGAAAATCGCTCGAAGAGGAAAGGCCCACCGTCAGCAGCATTGTCCACACCGCTGGCTACTCCCCATGAAGACACGGATGAGGAGATGGATGCACGACCCAAGATCGCGCAGCCACAGCCCGCAGACGCCAACACTACTCCTCTGATACAGCCGCTGGACATTGACGCGCAGGCCGCAGTCTCGCTCGCGGCGCTGGGATCAACTCCAACGACCCCGCGGCAATTACTGCCTGGTTGGGAGAGTCCATCACCACACGCAAACAGGTGATGGAAACCATCCGCGCCTACCATACTGGGGTGATTCGCAGCGAGATCAGCAACATCGTCCTCCAGGTTGAAGGAGTCGTCCGCCAACTGGACAATAGACTACTCCTCCAGCATGACCACCTTCGCTGGCTCACTCAGGAAAGCAGGATGGAGCAGAAGAAGCTCTCAGGGCTTCAGGTCCTCACCACCGGCTGGTCCCCGACAATGTCAGGTGAGGAACGTTTGTACCAACTCAACTGGATGTTCGAGCAGGTGGACTACTTCCGTCGCTGGCTCTCTGACCGCGGGCACAACATCGACGGCCCCAACGTTCCCTACATCTTCATGAACATCCTCCAGTGTGAGCCGGCTACTCCTCCGTCCGGCCAGCAGTTTTCCACGGTGTCAATTTTAACATTTAAATCTTGGGATTTGCGCCAGCAGTTCATGAGCACGTACGGTGGCCCCACGGGGACCCCCTTGTACAGAGATTCTTCCACGCGCGAGAAGAACCGCCACGTCATGGCGACACCAGCTTCGCCACAATTTCAAAGGAAGATGGAAGTGCCCATTAGAGTACTCCTCTCCCTCATCAATGAAAGCGAGCTGCTCGAATCCAATCAGGTCACCGTGCTATGGAAGACCTTGACCATAATGCAGCCGCAATCTGTTCGCGAATTCGATGATCAGATCCGTGCCTTCGCAAGGATGCATTTTTTCGAAGACAAGGGAATCATGAAGGGCATCCTAGAGGTTACTCCTCAGCTGATGGAAGCGTTGCAAGCAAAGCCACCCATCGGCTCGGAAGAACCCACCATGTGGTCATACCACTGGGCGAAGGTCGTTTATGGTGTGCAACATGAGTTGGATGTTGCAGACCAGCACCAGTTTGCGAGGGCCCGGACCCAGGCCAAAGGCTCGGGAAAGGGCATGGAGGTAGGCCAGACTAGGCGCCACTGGGCCTCCTCAGCAGTCTACTCCTCAGCGGACAATCCGTTTCCAATCGAGATGGAAGTTCGCGACGTAGACGATATCTATTTCGTCTGGGACGAGTATTGTGACAAGTTCCAGAGAGCTGATTTGAAAATCGGCAGCTACCAGACGGGTACTGTCCAGGGAGCGCCCCCCTCGGCTACTCCTCCTACAGCCACAGGGGAGAGCGCATTGTCAGTGTTTGCGCAGCCGAAGGCTGGCGCCATGCAGCCCCCGTCATGGGTGCCAAAGGCACCAGTTTCCGCAGCTGCCAAAGGCAGCGCAGCAAAGCCCTGACAAATTGCTGCCGTTCCAGCTTCGCTTTTTACAGTCGTGCAATGTTTTACTCCTCAGCACCTCTTTCACAGCAACATTTTCTTACAGTATAGTGTTGTCTTCTACAATACCAGTCCACTCCTCTCGCACGACTGTCGCAGCCAGAAGATGCCACATTTGAAATTTCTCAAGAGGCACACTGGCCAGAATTCCCAACAATGGCCACATTTGAAATTTCTGAATCATTCGGCCAGGGAAGACACTTTCAAGTTCAAAGAAAGCTGGATTGATTCGAGTTTCAGCCGAGGCAAGAGCAGGGAAGTCGAAGCACAAACAGTAGGATGGGATAGAACACCCATTCGAAGAAAACAACACAGATCCCGATGCAAACAAGTACCTCGTAGATGCCCCGCCCTACCCTCATTAAATTATTTAGGCCTAGCATTCCTGATAGTCTATTACTACACCGAACCCTGTCGCTACAACCCGGGTATAATCATGATGGATTCCCTGATACTATATCATTGTGCAAAGGGCTTCTGTACCGCATATTTAGATGCACTTCAGGCTAGATTAAACAAAACGCAACATTCATTGGTAGGCAACACAACGACCATACTCCTGGATGATCTCATCCCAACCCAGACTACTCCTCAGAATGGGTCTCCGACCCACCACCATAGATCGCCCTGGCCGATTGACCAAAGCACAACACAGTCAGGTACCCCACATTTCACATCATCAGACATTTTCACAAGGGATGTGCTCCTCCTGTATAGGCAGTCCAGAGCACCCCATATGGCTTCTATACTCCCTTCCTTAGCCCCCCGCCCACACCTTAAAAATAGAGGAGGTAGGCGTATTCAACTAAGGGCGGCCGACTCAGGCCAAAGAATGTTTTTAAAGTCCCCTAAACCCAGTCCCTTCCCGGTTCGTTCCAGACCCCCCCGAGCTACTCCTCATGGAAAAGACTCGGTTGTTTCCACCCAATTGAATTCAGGAATTAATAAACACAAAGAAGTTAAGCTTGCACCGCCGCCACGCGGCGCGCCGGGGACCCATGTGGTCAACGAAGAGTGCAACCCCACTCTCCCTAAACCCTCTCCACCCTCAGGCCGGGGTTCCAGGCTACTACGCAGACGCCTTTACCGGCAGTGGCGTAGCAGTCGCGGTGGAGTCATATGCCAGGGCCGCTTGGGCAAGGGCACTGGCAACAGGGAGAAGCCCCAGAGAGCGGCTCACGGCCGCGTAGCAGGGAAAAACAACGCCGGCAGATTCCGCACCTTGGTTTTGGAGCAGTCAGAACTTTCCGGACCACAGCGTAAACCCCGGGATAAAACCATGACTACTCCTCAATTAGAATACGGATTCAAATTAAAAATAGCCACACAGAATGTCCAAGGCATGGCGGAAGTTCTCAAGCATCAGCAGGTCCTCGAAATAATGAAATCTTTCTCACTACATATCCTATTCCTTACAGAAACACGTTCCACCTCATACTACACCTATAACTCTCAAGGATTTCTCTTTGTGGTGAACGGTTCTACTACAGACAAATATGCAGGAATTACAACGGTAATCCACCCCAGTATCCGCCCCTATATCAAGGATTTCATTCAGTACTCCCCTAGGATTACAAGGGTTACCATTTCACTACAAAGTGGTAATTCACACATTTTCGGAGTCTACGCCCCACACGACAAGCTTGAAAATGAAGAGGTAAAGTCACCATTCTGGGACGCGCTACAAAGCGCAATGATTTCGCTCCCAGCCCCAGAGCCCGCTTATATCATTGGCGATTTCAATGTGCGCCTGCAGGGCCGCAGCCGACATGAACACGATATCATGGGACCTCATGTCTATGGAAAAGGCTACTCCTCAGCAAAAACTGGCCCACAGCAGAATCGTACATACTACACATCCTTCCTCCGAGACACGTCTTGTGTTGACGCCCTCACGTACAAAACCCCCAATCTTTTACATCACATTACATATAGGGATAAAAACCCCCCACCACAAGAGTGGTCCCAGTTCGCGCTCGATTCAATCAAGGTGCTTCAATTCTGGGACAAAATCTCAGCGCTCCCTACACCTCCTGAAGAAGCCCTTTGTATCGCTCAAACAATTCGTCTCTTTTTGACAGCGGACCCTTTGTTAAACCCTCTCCCTCAAACACCGAAGATCGACCCCTTCAGATTCCAGAGTCTTGATAAAATAGTGTGTAAAAAGCAATGGCTTCCGTCGATTTTACAATGCCGGGCACATCATAATACCGGCTTCCCAAGCGACCATTATCTGCTCAAAACTATTCTCCGCATAAAGCTAGGATCAAAAGAGCCCAAAATTCCTAGACTCCCCAAACCAGACTACTCCTCTTCCACCAAATCGCAGGAACAATTCGCCGCAGCCTTCAGAACACATTACGTCAACACAGCCTCCCAGGGTTCAGAAACAAAGAAAGCCCCCGAGGGCCCCCACGTTCGAGTCTACACGGACGGATCCGGCTCAAAAGGCAGAGCAAGTGCCGCCTCCCCCGCGGGATGGGGATTTGTGGTATTCGACGACTCTGCGAGGGCGCACAAAGCATGTGGCCCAGTACTCACCACAGACACCTCCCCATATTATCTGGGCGCCAGTGTAGGTAGCAACAACACAGCAGAAATCTCCGCCATCATGGAGTCAATCCTCTATTTATTACGTTCGGCTACTCCTCCCACAAAGGTTACAATCTACTACGACAGCAAATGGGCTGCCCAGATGACTCGAGGATTGTCCAGACCGAAAAAACACAAACAGCTAATTTTTAATGCCCGCGCCTGTTACGAGAAACTGAAAAACATCTCAGAGATAGAATGGGTGTGGATAAAAGGGCACACTGGAAATCAAGGAAACGAATTAGCGGATGCCTTAGTGGAACAGGGAAAAATAGCTTTGGAGGCTCAAGGTGGACGATATACACAGGCAGCTCCATTACTTCTCTCAAACCTGAACCCTCCCGCCCTACCGATCAGGGGTGAGACAGCAGAAGATAAATACTCCAGATTTCTGTACGCTGCTCAAACAGCCTCTACCATGATTTTTCCTCCCACCCAGTACTCCCCACACAAACCTTGGATATCCACGGAAACACTAAGAGAATTACACGTCGCCAAAAATATGAAAGCCACAGAACACCCAGACTACTCCTCCTATTACAGAAGGGTGAAAAATCAGGCTAGAAAAGAAAAAACTCAGTGGATACGCAGCCAAATTAACACTGATTACACGCTCACCCCAGCAGTTTGGAAACAGGCAAAGAAACTTAAAAAGGGATTTCAGGAAAGAAAATGTAGACTGGTAGTGGATAACAAGCAGATCCCATGGTCTGAAACACACGCGGCATTTGGCAAACACCTCACGAACGTACAATGGGGTCCCTCAAAGGTAACGAACGAAGCTAAACAAAATTTAGCACAGGCTACTCCTCATTTCCCCACCGACACGACTCCGATCCCATGGTTTACCCTCCCGGAATTGCAAACCGCCCTCCACAAAATGCAAAAAGGCAGGGCCCCAGGACCTGACAACCTGCGACCTGATATACTCAAACTACTGGACCATTTCGGGGAGGTGCAACTTCTCGACCTCATGAACGCTTGTTTGCAGGAGGAAAAAATCCCACACGCATGGAAAGAGGCTATAGTAGTATCGTTTTACAAGGGTAAGGGTGACGACTCAGACGCTTCAAACTATAGGCCAATCTCGTTGCTCAACACAATGTATAAAATTTACTCCTCCCTCATCCAAGCTCGTCTACAGTTCAGATATGAATCCAGACTGCGCAACACGCAGTTTGGATTTCGACAAGGACGTAGTACCGTACACCCGCTATTTATATTGCGCAGACTCCAAGACTACTCCTCCAGAACAGGCACCCCGTTTCACTGCTTGTTCATAGATTGGAAACAGGCGTTTGACAAGCTGGATCACGATTCATTACTGATTGCACTTCGCAGAATGGGTATTCATGAACAATATATTACCTTAATCCAGGACATTTACACCGCTCCCCTATTCCACACAATCGGTATTAAAGGTGACAAATTCACGGCTACTCCTCATACTGGGATCAGGCAGGGCTGCCCGCTCAGCCCATACCTTTTTATCTTTGTGCTATCCAGCGTACTGCTGGATGTAGATGACAAATTAGTCCGACAGGGGGTCCCTCAAAACACTTGGTCGGTGGGAAAGCCAACTTACGATCTCGAATACGCCGACGACACTCTACTCTTTGGGATATCAGTACAAGCCCTGGAATCCTATCTGCATGCGCTCCAACAGGAAGCCCAACCCTATGGTTTAGAACTCAACCTAACTAAGACTGAACTCCTTTGTCACCCCTCGTTTACTCCTCCACCCCCCAATTTCATAAATGGGGACCCAGTACCCCAGGCAACGTCAGTGAAGTATCTAGGTTCCCAAATCTCTTGGATCAAGCCCACAATTCACGCACTGCTCGCGAGATTTGCACTAGCCCATACCTCCTTCAACAAGCTCCAACATCTTTGGCGGAGTAGACTACCCAGAAAAGTAAAGGTACAAATATTCATGGCAAACATAGTATCCTGTCTCGTCTATGGCCTCTGCACCCTCACCATGGAAGACAAACATTTCCGTAAATTAGACTCCTGGTATTTTCAACACCTACGAAGAGCCATAGGTATTAAAGCGTCCTACTACTCTCATATCACAAACAAATCGGTTTGGGTTCAAGCCAACAGACCACTCCTCCCATCCCAAATAGTTCTTTCCCAACAGTTCAAGCTGTTCACTGAATCAGTTAGAGCTCCCGCAGACCAACCCCTACACCATGTAGCGCATGGACCAGCTCTCAAGGACAGAATAGCACAGTACAAAAATTATAAGACGGGCCCCCCTCCGCCCCACTGGCTACTCCTTGTCAGTAACCATGCTATGGAATTCTGCCGATCGGATACCCCTAATAACGACCTCCTAACCCTTCAGAAGCGGATAAGAAAAGA